CAAGTTGTGGTATATGAATGTAATAGAATACTATTGTGCTATAAGCAATGATGAGCAGGCAGACTTCTGAAAAACCTGGAAAGACTTATATGAACTGATGCTGACTGAAATGAGCAGAACCAGCAGAATGTTGTACACAGTAACAGCCACACTGTGCTATGACTGACTTGGCTCTTCTCAGCAATGCAAGGATCTAAGACAACTCCAAAAGATTCATAATGGAAAATGCTATCCACATCCAGAGAAAGAACTATGGAGTCTGAATGCAGATGGAAGTATACTATTTGCTCTTCTTTTCCTCTGTTGTTTTGTTCTATTGCTTCATTCTCGTGGTTCCTCCCATTAGTTCTGATTGTTCTTTACATCATGACTAATGGGAAAATATGCTTAATATGAATGTATAAGTAGAGCCTATATCAGATTGCATGCTATCTTGGGGGGGAGGGGGAAAGGGAGAGAGAGGGGGAGAAAATTTAAAACAAAATCTTATGAAAGTGAATGTTGAAAACTAAAGATGGGGGCAGCTAGGTGGTGCAGTGGATAGAGCACAGGCCCTGAAGTCAGGAGGACCTGAGTTCAAATCCAGCCTCAGACCAAACACTTGACACTTACTTAGCTGTGTGACCCTGGTCAAGTCACTTAACCCCAATTGCCTGGAAAAAAAAACCCTAAAAATAAATTAATTATTTTTTAAAAATACCATAGGATAAGAGAGGCTAGGATCTGGGTGAAGGGAACATTCACACCAAGGCTTTCTCACCTTCCCCATGGTAGGATGTAGTGTAAATAAATTCAAACACTTGTCTATTTGTTTAACATTATAACCAAGTCTTCTGTTCCCTCCTGGATGTAGGGTTGACGTTAGTATGTCAGTTCTCAAGACAAGATCCCTTGCATCTTAGTTCTACTAACAGAAAAGGAGCTAGGGACCTCTTAGTCTCTCTCCTTTCCTTGATTTTCAACACAGGGTGTATGGAAGCATCTCCTTCCAGGGAAGGAAGTTTTGCAAATGTCTTTGGGAACTTTGTCTCTGAAAGTAAGGTTGTAATTGAAATGTGAAAAAGAAAACAACCCTGAAAAACTTAAGAATTCTAATCAATACAGTAAGGAAATACTGAATGAGGTATATACTGTCAGACATGGCCAATGTGTTGATTTTGTTTTAATTCAACTTTTTTGTTATAATGGGGGGGGGTGCCATGAAGAATCACTGAAAAGTTATATTGATACAAAAAAAAGCATCAATAAAACAGAAAGAGAGATGAATAGACAGATATGTTACATGAGAAAGATTTCCATCAAAAATGTGCTGAAAGATTACAGAGTCGATCCTGGGCAGAGGAAACAAAATTTGGCATGGGCTTAGTCTTCTAACCCTTCAAAACACAAAATGTCAGGGTCTCCAATCCCTTCGCCTAAAATTAAAAACAATAAATGAAGAGGCCAAGTACTGAATTACATTTTACAGGGCCATATTCAGTAGGGAGTACCCAAGGTTTCAACCCTTATACCATGGTAAAAATATTTTTAACACATATTCTTCAAGTGAGACTACTTGACTAGCTTGACAATTAAATGGGTATCTTAGGGTGAGGGGGCATTATCCAATGTACTCTCTCATTCAAGCCCCCACCATGCAAGGTGGTCAGAGGTTCAAATTCTGACTCTAAATTCCATACCTAGCCTATATGAAGTGGAGCCTTTGAAAATTTGGTGGAGATAGGGGTGGGGAGAAGACAACATCTCTGTAGGGGCTCTTCCTCCAAGGAGAGGTAGCAGGCTTTGGGAGTTCAGCCCTGCTCCTCTGGCCACTGAGGAACTGGACTGTGTAACAAAAACCTCCTTCATAAATAACACTTTTCTACTCCCACATCCCTTCTTTCTTTTGACCTCCTCCACTTCTTACCCCTACTCCCACCCCACATCCCTTCCCTTCCTCCACCCCAATCACACAGCTGCCTTGTTCTCTTGGGGGACTTTGTCCAAGAGACTCATTTCCCCTCCCCCAATTCCCCTGCCTCAGTATTGACAAATCCTACTAATTTTCCCTGAGCCTACAAACTAGTTCATGCCAGGGAAGGGAGAGAAGTTTTGGGGGATGAGGGGTAGTCAAGTTGTTACGAAGCATATCTCAGCCCACAAAGATTTCTGTGCTTGTGTCTATGTCTGGGGCTGCTCAGGCTAGAAGCAACCCCAAAATGACCATTATTACCCCGGACACTTGATGCTCAATCAAAAAGTCTTTGTCCTTAAGTGCTACAGTCTCTATCACCATTTCCCTTCCCCCTTGGAGAAGCCAAATGCTCTTTATGTGTTTGCCTTGAGTCCTTTGGGAGCAAGGAGAAGTGACTGAAGCCGGAAGTCACCCAGATTTCCTTGTATGTAAAAGCACAGATTGGACTGGAACTCCATGACCTGACATAATCTTTAAATCCTGCTTTGGCCCATGGCCCATGAGGATACAAAGGGGAGTGAATGATACCTCTCAGCTTGTCACCAATGATATGTTCCGGGGAGTGGAGGCAGGGAAAGAGGCATCTGTGTATATCTGCATATCTGGGTAAATGAAATGTGCACTTGTGAGCATGTGAATTTATGAATTTGTGTCTATATGTGTGAATATCTATGCATGTATTTTCTACATACTGTGTATATATGTTTTGGATAATGTGAATGCATGTATGTGAGTGAGTGTGTATGTGTGAGGGGGTATCCATATGGATCTATGTCTAAATGTGCCCATATATGCTATATACATCTTGCCCATTTGGGGTATCTAAACTGAATCTCCACAGCCTCCTTCCCAGGTTTTCCCTTGAATGATCCTGTGATGAGCTCCTAGGCACAGCTCCACAAGATAGGCCCCATCTTGGGGCCAGAGCAAGACTCAGGTCACAGCAGATGTCATTAATTGAATTAAGGGCATTGTTGTGTAGACAGTGGAAAAAAAAACACAACATGGAATTTGGAAGCAGAGGATCTGGGTTTGCAACTCTGTGGTGGGATCTGGGGTATGTTATTTCTCTCTGGACCTTAATTGTACATTCAAGTTGTTATCGCTGGGCAGGTTCGATGTTCATCCTAAGACCACAGGATTTAGAGCTAGAGGGAACCTTAGAGGTCATTTGATCCCCACCCCTCATTTTACAGATAGGAAAATATTCGTTTTTTTTTTAACTAAAGCAGTGTCCACACTAATCATGGCTGATGTTGCTACAACCAAGGTTTTGTACAGTAGAATAACATTGGGTGTGAGGGTTCTGAGGGAAGAGTGGACCAAGCTTTGGGCTAATAGGATCTCAAGTCACCTAAATTAATTCTCAGACCAGAACAGGAATAGGTCTCAGCTACCTCTCTTCTGCCCAAGGAAATGACAGTTGGAATAGGTGAGAATCCCTAACCTATGGTGTTAGGGAGATCCCCCTGGTAGACACTAGGTCTTCTTAGAGCATCATCCTCAGCAAAAAAAAGTTAGAGTTCTAGGAACAAAACTAAATCACAGGAAAATCCCACCCATCCTGAATACTTTGAGGCAGAGAACCAGAAGGACCCATGGACTACCCCCCCAACCAAAAATTCTTTGTTTCTCCTCTTCAATATCTCCCCAGAAATGTACCCCTTTTCTGGATAGCAGGCCCCATCCCTCCAAAGCTAGCAGCTAAACTACGTACGGGACTCCATATGGCCTTACCCCACCCTCACTCCCCACCCACCACACCCCCTCCAAGCTGTGACTTCTGCTTTTTAGGAAAACTCAATTCATCTTGAAAAGCTCAGAGAGACTCAATGGACCAGTCTTGGTACCCTCAAGTGCCTCCTAGATCTCTAAAAAGCAATTAGTCCAATTAACTTACCTTCCCTCCCCCGTCAATTTGACCTAGATCTTTAAAATGCAAGCTTACAGCAAACTGAATTAGGAAAGTAAATATACTGGGGAAAATATGTATTCTATGATGACTTTCAAATAAAAGGAGGAATGATATGTGGATTATCCACATTTATGTTGTCAATCCCTAGCCCTGGTAAAATTGAGAGATGACAGTATTTATGGGCAACTTTGGTGGAAGAAAGACATATTTGCTTCCAGGATCCATAGGTACCTGACCCGTAGGGGATATACTCCCCTCCCTGCTTAAGGCTGGGGATAGAATCCCAAAATACTGCACAAATACTGCAGTGAAGCAGGAGCAGAAAACAGCTCTAGTCTGTTTCTTTGTCCCTCAACCCCAAAGAGATGGTAAAGGATATATTATTTTTAATGGAGGTCAGGGGCTTTACAATGGGGAGGGAGGAAAGGCAGAGGAAAAGTGTCTTTTCTCACTCTTCTAAGATTCTTACTAAGACTTCAGCCACTTTGGTGCGATGGACACCACCCAAATCCAATACAGATTAAACACATCAGTGTGTGACGGGGTGGAGGGAGTTCAGACACAAAATCATAGAGACTTGAAGACAGCCACAGAGCAGATTTTAAAACAGGTAAGGCACGTATATACACAGATAAACACAACAAATATTCACGCATTCATTTATTTGGCAAACGCCTATTAATCTACAAGGAACTGCTGGGGACACAAATACGAAAAAAATGAAAAAGAATGCAGATACACATAAACCCAGATCCATATACACACACACGTACATATACACCGGCATTTCAAATGAGACTCAAACATAGACAGCCGGACGTCGAGAGGCGTAAGACATAGATGGTACACACACACATGTGCCAATAAGGACAGGGAGTGAGGAGCTGCGCCGACCATCTGGGGCCGCTGTTTCCGGTGACAATTTGTCCTGAGTGGAGCCCGGGGGGTAGTGGGGGAGGGTGTCTTCCTCCCCCCCCCCCCGAAACCTGAAAGGCTGGGAGAGGTAAAGGGGGTCACACCCAGGGAAGGAGCTTGGGTCATTTACCTTCATAGCTAGTTTTCCCCACCCACGGGGGGGGGGCTGGGAAAGCAGGGCGGGGCTGGCAGATCTGGGGGCGGGCCCGAAAAGACCTGGGCAGCGGGAGAGCGGGGGCGGCGGTAAAGAAACCTCGACCCGGTAAGCATAGGCATACGCGAGCACACACAGGCACACGCATACACCGAAAGACACACAGCTAGACTAGCACACACGTTCCCTCTCTGTGACACATTCCCCGCCCCTCTGTACTTCCCAAAGAGGGGTGTGTGAATTGTGTGTGTGTGTGTGTGTGTGTGTGTGTGTGTGTGTGTGTGTGTGTGTGTGTGTGTGAACCTCAGGCTAGTCGCTGACTGGGAACCCGTCCGGGCCAGAGCCGGACCCGGGGCGGGACCCAGAGCCAGTGTCCACACCTCCATCCCGAGCCTCTCTGATTTCCCCCCCGCGGCGCGGATGCCCCATGTTCACGGAGTTGAGGTCCAAGCTGAGCCCCCCGAGAGGCCGCGCTGGGGCGGTGAGGACGAGCTTCGGAGAGCGCAGAGATGTGGACGGTGAGAGCTGGCAGGGGCTGGGTTTCGGGGAGCCGGGAGGGTGGGGAATGGCGCTGGGGCCAAGGTGAGGAGAGAGTTCGGAAAGATGGGGCAAAGGTGGCAAAGGACACCAGGGTCTAGAGCTGATGAGGGGGAGGTTCCCATTCAGCTAATAAAGCTGCGGCACAGTAGAGAAGGAGAAAGCCGGGTCCCGGGTTCGCTCCGACTCCGCCTCAGCCCCAATTTATGGTTTCTTGAGCTGGCGATGCGCAGCCGGGTTGCGTAGGGGGAGGGGATTTGGGGAGGAGAACCCTAGACTGAGGTCCATTCTAAGCCTGGCCCGACTGGGTTTTGGGCCGAGATCTCATGGGGACCAAGAAGGGAAATGGTTGGGGGACGTCTGAAGCAGGGATTTCCAGCCCCTCTCGATTCTAAAGTCATTGCTAAGGACAGAAGCCCCCTCTCGCCTGAAGGGTTGGGGTGGCTCCTCCGAGACAGCTCTCCCCATTCCCCCAGCAAAGGTGAAGGGAGGGGAGGAGAGAAAAGAAGCAACGACAAATCGGTTGCCTTTGTAGTGGGGGTTGGGGGGAAGGAAGGCGGAGCTGTCTTTGATTTCCCATCTTCCTGTTGTTCCCAGCCCTCGTCTGATCCCCCGGGAAGGAAGGAAGGAAATGGAGAGGGGGACAGAGCCCACACCCTCTGTCCCGGGGGACCTTCTTTAGGGACATTGGCCCTCCAAATAATTCTCTTCTCTCTCAAGGGTGATACCTCCTTAAGGGGCTCTTGCCTCTCTCAGGGATATTGACCCTTACAGAGATTCAGCCCCCTCTCTTACTAATGCAGCTCCTCTTATAAGGAAAATTATACACCTCTCTTCCCACACACATACCCAAGATGAAAAGCGCTTGGTTTAGCAGCATTTTGCAAATGTCAGAGCTGGGGAGAGGGGGAAGGAAGGAAAGACCTGGGGTTAAGGCCATTTCATTCCTTAGAGGAAGCACCCTCAAAGATTCACCTTCACTTTTCCTCTCCTCCTTCCCAAGGGAGCCCGGATGCAGAAAGGTTCTGGTAAATTGGGAGTCAAGGACCCCTGCCTCCTATTCATATTGTATTTGTGAAAGTCTTTAGTTCAATTTGATGGTGAGTGGGAAGGGGTAGCCCTGCCCCTGTGCCTCCAAAAGGGAAAAGCAGGAAATGAGGGGAGGTGCTAGGGAGGCTCAGAAGGCAGGTATGTACAGATGCCAGGTGGGAAGAGACGCCAGGGTGTCAGACAGGTTTCCCTAGGGAGGGAGGGTACTGGGGCAGGGTGATTATATTCCAAACTTCTTTTCGGGCTTGGGGAGTCCCAGTAGCCCAGACCCAATTCCCCTCATTGAATCCCCAGGACTCCCTAGTAGTGGGAGTACTTAAAATAATTTCAATCCTGTCACTGGAGGGTTAGAATGATCAAAAGCCCACCTATGTTCTTCCTATCTCTCCCATACACACACACCATACACACTAGATAAATCATTAGCAAAGTTCTGGTCCTCAAAGCTAAAGGGAAAGGGATGTTCAAAGAAGGCTCTGGACCTGATTTCCTCCTCACCAGGGTCCCCTATTAGTTTATCATAGGATTTGGTCTCTGTCAGGTCTCCTTGTACTATGCCTCCTGCATAAAAGGAACCATGGGAGAGAAATGAATGTCCCCTGTGTCAGACAGAAGAGGTCTGAAGGGAGCTCAGATAGCTCCACAGCAGATGGATTCTGTCATCCTGTGTTCCCTCATGAGCCATTTCCTCTTCCTCCCCTCCCCCACCATTAGCCAATGGCAGCTACAGCAAGAGTGAGTGTTCTGGGCTCAGGTGTCAGGGGTGATTTGGTTAGTTTTCCAAAAGGCAGAGCAAGACAAAATGCTGCATTGAGTCCCAGGGGCGCTATCGATAGAGTCCTATATCTAAAGGTCCTCTGGGATTAAGTATTTCTCAATAGCTGAGCCTCAGTTTCCCCCCTGTGAATTGAGGACAGTCACACTTCTTGCATTTTGTATTCCAGTTTCTTGCCACTGAACTGAAATCTAGGACTTTATGTTTATATCAAGATCTTAGGTTCCTTCAAAGCAACAGCACCCTGAAACTGAACAGGCTGCTACTCTTGGGAAGTACTGGAACTTATAAGGAAGATTTATGGATCAATTGTATGTATATGAATCAAAGTAATTTTTAAGCACCTCCTTCTCCTCAGCCTTGGCACCCTTTAAGTCACTGCCCAGACCCAGGGGAAAAGCACAAGCCCCAAGTCCCTGTATAATGTTCAGAAAGAGTGTGGGGGCAAGACTAGATTTTTGAAGGAAGGTGGAGTCCTATAATAACCCTTTTCAGAATTTCAAGTTTTTTCATTGGAAGGGACCTTAAAGATCATCTAACCCAATTGATACCTGAACATTAACATCCTTGTATGATATCACTGACAAGTAGTCACCCAGTCCTTTCACTGAAACACTTCCAGTGATGGAAAACACTACTTATTAAAGCAGCCCATTTTAATATGGGACAGTACTACTTTTTAAGAAGTTTTTTACATTAAGTAGAACACTACTTTTAACTCATTGCTCTTTTTGTCGTTTTTCAGTCATGTCCGACCCTGTGTCCCCATTTGGGAGTTTCTTAACAGAGATGCTGGAGTAGTTTGCCATTTCCTTCTTCAGTTCATTTTACAGATGAGAAAACTGAGGCAGACAAGGTTAAGTGACTTGCCCAGGGTTACAGAATTAGGAAGTGTCTGAGGCCAGATTTGAAATCAGGAAGAGGAGTCTTCCTGACTTCAGGCCCAGCACTCTATGCCCTGTGCCACCTAACTGCCATTGTTCTTAATTCTGTCCTTTATTGTACATGTCAGCGTATATATTCTCAAAAGAATGAAGTCAGGATGTGAACAGTGCTCCTACTTTTTCACTTTGCATTATTACATACTTTTTCTTCAATTATCAAACATTTATTTTTTCTCCCTCCTACTAAAACCCCACCACAAAACCTTTGTATCATATAAGCATAGTCAAGCAAAACAAATTCCCATATTGACCACATGATAAAATGTGTTTCTTATTCTGCATATTAATCCATTACCTCTCTGTCATGAGCTGGGCAGCATTTAATTATGGTTGATTACCACACTGATCATAGTTCTTAAGTTATTTGTGTTTATAATATTGATGTTATAGTATAAATTGTTCTCCTGGTTCAACTTACTTTACTCTGCATCAATTCAAACAAATCATCTCTGGTATTTCTGAACAGTCCACTTCATTCATTCATTCATTCATTCTTTTTTTTTTTTTTTAGGTAGTTGGTGTTAAATGACTTACCCAGGGTCACATAGCTAGTAAGTGTCTGTGGCTGGATTTTAACTAAGGTCTTCCTGACTCCAGGGACAGTGCTCTATTCACTGCACCACCTAACTACCGCCACTTCATTATTTCTTGTAACAATAGTACCTCATGACATTCATATGCCATAATTTGTTCAGCCATTCTTCAGTAGATGGGCACACCCTTAGTTTCTAGTTCTTTGCCACTACAAGAAGAACTGCTCTAAACATTTTTGTATATATAAGACTTTTTCTTCCTTCTTTGATCTCTTTGGGGTGCAGGCCTAGAAGTGATGTCATTGGGTCAAAAGGCACACACAGTTTAGTCATTTTGGGGGGTATAATTCCAAATTGCTTTCCAAAATGGCCGGGACCATTTCACAGCTCTGCCAATGGTGCATCAATGTACCTGTTTTCTAGCAGCTTCTCCAGCATTTCTCATATTCTTTTTTTGGTCACCTTTGCCAATCTGATGGTTCCCCTGTTGTGGATCTAATTTTGACCACAAGGGGGAAAACTTCTTGGTGAAATAGAAAGGAACTTTGGAAGGCAGTTACCATGACATCTTAGAGCATGAGATAGATAAGGACAGGATCACTAAGTAAGTGTAACATTCCCTCTCTCACTCCAGATTTTGGGAGAACAAGTTTCAAACAGTTCAGAGAAAGAATATGTAGGATCCTATAACCTAAATTTATATAGGAGAAGTTAGCACTCTTTAGAGGCATTGGAATCTCTTGAGAAAAAAAATAAGAAAACACAATGAAGTATTCCAATAAGGAAGAAAAGGTGAAGCTTTCTAAAGAAACAGATATGGATGTACAGGGAATGTACTGTCTTAGTTGTTTGGTTTTTTTAAAGATCTATATACAGAGTATCCTAAAAGTCTTAGTGTAGTTTAAGTTTTAATAAGCTTATGGAATAATTTATTTATATTTCATTAATTTTAATTTACTATTTTATTAATAGGAATTATTATTGATATTAATTGATTGATATTTAATGAACTTATTAAAGTTTAAACTACACTAAGCCTTTTAGGACACTCTGTGCATAAGACAGAAAAAAGAGAAGAAAGGGCAGGTAACTGGGGATAAATAGAAAAAAAAAGTAGCACATTCTTTTAAGAACAATACCAGGAATACTAAAGCTAAGGCTTAAATAAATGCTAAATGAAATTGAAGGAGGGGAGTACTTTTGAAAAACTTAGTTGGTGAAGGAAATAAACATTTATATAGCACCTCCTAAGTGCCATGCGCTTCACTAATTGCTTTTTACGAATATTATTTCATTTGATCCTCATGACAACTCTGTGAGGTAGGTACTATTATTATCCCCATTTTATGAGGAAATTGAATCACTTAGGAGTTAAATTACTTGTCCAGGATCACATAGCTAATAAGTGTCTGAAGCCAGATTTGAATTCCCGCTCTTCCTGACTCTAGGCCCAGTTCTCTATCCACTATCCATCTGCCTCATCTTAAAACAGGAAAAGAATTATAGTAAATGTACAACAGGCAGAAATACCCAACTCCCATTTTACTTCTTTTTCCTCTACTAAAAACAATGATTGGGGCAGCTAGATGGTGCAGTAGATAGAGCACCAGCCCTGGATTCAAGAAGACCTGAGTTCAAATGTGACCTCAGACACTTGACACTTACTAGCTGTGTGACCCTGGGCAAGTCACTTCACCCCATTGCCTCACTGAAGAAGAAGAAGAAGAAGAAGAAGAAGAAGAAGAAGAAGAAGAAGAAGAAGAAGAAGAAGAAGAAGAAGAAGAAGAAGAAGCAGCAGCAGCACAGAATAAAAACATTTACTGGGGAAATAAAATTAAAGATAAGGCAGTGTTAACAAAGCAACTATGTAGTTGCCTTTAGTGAGTTCAAGGCACCTATAGTAGACAAATTTTATCTCAGGGTCTGGAAGGAACTGATAAACTTTATTACTGAGCTGCTATTAGTGATCTTTGGAAAATTCATGAAGAATGAGGGAGGTGCTATTAAACTGGAAATGTGCAAAGGTACTAATCATTTCTGAAAATGAGAAGAAAATGGATTCTTCCAACAGCAGACCAGTAAACTTGACTTTTATTCCTGGCAAAATGATAAAATATGTTATTAAAAGGATGCTTCTTGAGCACCGAGAAATAGAAGGTCCTACTCCACTTAAACCTGTCCAAGAGGAGGTAAACCACAGCGTGTGGCAAAAGGGCCAGTGGCTTAATAACCAATAACAGGGCACAGACTTGTCATTAGGAAATCATTGATCAAAACTAACTTATGAACAATGTCCTAATCTTACAGGGGTGGGGAACCTGCACCCCCAATGTGGTCCCCTACCTAAATCAGAGGATTTAGAACTGGCAGAGAATTTAAAGATGATCTCTTCCTCCACCCCCCTCTTATTTTATAGATAAGGAAATAAGTCACAAAAGGTTAAGGGACTTGCCAAAGGTCACAGAGGTAGCAAGGAGTAGAGGGAGGATTTAATTTCAGATCTTCTGATTTCAAATCCCATTCCCTTTTCCCTATATCACATTATCCTAAAGGGTTTTTTTTAAAAGTGTGCCTATTTGACTAACAGTTTGTTCAGTGGGGAATTCATAGAAGGGATTAAATTCAATCTAGCACCTCCTGCAAAGTCATCTATTGATAATTTAAAAGAAATAAATGGCTCAAATTTCTACAGTACTTTAACATTTTAAAAGTGCCTTACTCATGTTAATCCTAGAGTTTGTAGTAAAAGTGATTATCCCCATTTTACAAATGAAGAAGCTGAGGCTCAGAATCACTTGCCCAAAGTTACACAGCTAGTAAATATTGAAGCTAGAAATTGAACCTACACCTTTGTTCCAAGTATGGTGTTCTTTCCATTACTCTTAGCTGATATCATAAAAAGGGCAACTTTTATTATTTGGCAGCTTTGGGCATTTGGCCTTATTCATCCCAGACTGCCCTTGCTGCTTTTTCTGAACATGGCAATAATGGCCCCTACTTGATTTGATGATGCAGCCCATATGAGGAATCTCTGATCATACATGAATTTGCTAAGAAAAAGTCATACAAGAATAAGCTCATCTCTTCTTTTGACAAAGCTATTCAACATGGTAGACTAATTAGAGGAATTCTATATTAATTAATTCTATACATTAACCCTGGATTTCAGCAAGGCATTTGACAAAGTTTCTCCCAATATCCTTGTAGTCAAAATGGAGATAGGGACTAGATGACGGAACAATTAGGTGTATCTCAAGCTAATTGAATGACTGGACCCAACAATCAGTCAATGCGTTGATGTGAACCTGGAGGGAGGCTTGTAGCAGAGTGACCCAGAAATCTGTCTTTGAATCTATTCCATTCAACATTTTGATCATGACAAAGACATGAATGGCTGCTTTCGGATTTGTGAATGACACAAACCCAGAGGGACTGGTAAAATGGTAAGCAATAGAATGGGGATCTCAAAACATCTGCAAGATGGAACAATGCACTGAATATAATAAGGTGAAATTTAATAGGAATAAATATAAATCCTGCACTTCAATTTCAAAAATATTAACTAGATAAATATAGGATGGGAGAGGTATGACTAGGCAACAGTCATGTGGAAAATATCTAGGCTTGCAAATAGACTACAAATTCAATAAGAGTTAATGTTTTGACAAGGCAGACCACACACACACACACACACACACACACACACACACACACACACACACACACACACACCCCAGATGCAATATTAGGCTGCATTAATAAGAGTAGAGTGCCAAGACTGAGTAAGGTGACAGTACCATTGTCCTCTACCCTGGTCAGACTATATCTGCAGTACTGTGTTCAGTGCCAAAACCACAGTTCAGGAAGGACATAGGCAAACTGGAGTATGTCCAGAGGAAGGTTCTCAGGATGTTGAGAGGATTTCAAACTATTCTTCTGAAGGATCAGTTGAAATAAATGGAACTGTTTACCTAGAAAAGAAAAGATTTGGGGATTCCTGAAAGCTGTCTTTGAAGGTCTCATGTAAAGAAACACAATTGGACTTGTTTTGCTTGGCCCCAGAGGGTAAAACTAAAAGCAATGTGTGGATGTTATAAGGAGACAGATCTTGGATTGATAAAGGAAAAACTTCCTAATGATCAGATTTGTCCAAAAATCGTCCTCAATAGATAGTGAGGTCAGAGGTCTTTAAGTAAAGTCTGGATGACCATTCTGTATTTTTAGCATGCTTTAGAATATAGAGAGGATTCCTATTCAGGTATGGGTTGAACTCAATTACTTTATGATTCCATGAAAATAAATCTAATTCTTCTTCAACACTATTGCCCTTCACATATTTGAAGACAGATATCATGCTTTCTATTCTCCCTCTCCCACCTCCAGATTGTTTTCTTCTTCAGGCTAAGTATCCCAGTAATCTCAGTATTTTCAGTCCATCCTTGTATGACTCAGAGTTGTTATCTATGTAATGGGTGTTCTGGAACTACCCACTCTCTCAGGAATGAGAAACGTTGGGCTCATTCTCCATCACCTAGCACCCAGTGAATGTCTCTTCAATTAAGGAAGGAAGGAAAGAAGGAAGGAAAGGATGGAGGGAGGAAGGAAGAAAAAGAAGTAGAATGGAAATAAAATCACCTATTTACTTAAGTTGTAGGGAAAACTGAAATACATTATAAAGAAGGGGTAGATATGGGACCAGAGGCATGCTGGAGCCAGCTCTTACCAGCTTGGCAAATTGTTAAATTTTCATTGTATTTAGGTGTCAGAAATGATCAAATGCTAAAAAATCAGGGCTTGATTTATTGTTTTGTTAATTGTCTAGACTTAAGAAAGTAATGGAGGAAATGTTAATAATGCAGATTAAACTTAAAAGTGCATTGTGAGTATAATTGTTTTTTCCCCAGACAGCCAGTTGTTAAACATTTACCAGCACACCTCTTGACTAGGACCCAGGAATCCTACCCATTTCTGGGTTTGGTACGGCAGGGGAAAGGAATAGGTTTAGGACCTGGGTTTAAGTCCTGCTGATTATCCTCAAACCCTGCCACCCCCACTCCCCATCCCTCCTTGTACCTCCATAGCTGCTGCACATTTCAGCTTCTGTCGGAGTCTTTTGGAGCACACCGTGTCTGCTGAGAACCTTCCCTGCCGGCTCCAGCGGGCACCAGGCTCCAGCCTCACTTGGCATGATAGTCGGAGCCAACGAGCTGCAGGGGGCAGAACAGTCAAGCTCCTGCAGCAGCCAGGCACTGAAACACAGCAGGTAATGCCCTCCCCAGAGCCTCACCCAGATACCTCCAATATCTCTGCCTCTCCTACAGTCTCCCAATTCATTCTTGTGTGTAACTTCAGTCTCTCCCACTACACGATTGGCCTATTTTCTCTGTTTATCCACCCACCTCCCCAGTTACCTGTCCCACTGTTTCCCTACTTTTATGGCTAGGAAGTCCTTCCTTGGGTCTATCCAGCACCCTTCCTGCTACAGGGCCGGCACTATGACCATTATGGATTCTACCACACCAGCCCCACACTGGGTGGCCTGATGCGGCCAGTGGTCCTGTGGAGCCAGCAGGATGTCTGCAAGTGGTTGAAGAAGCACTGTCCCCACAACTACCTCATCTATGTGGAAGCCTTCTCCCACCATGCTATCACTGGTGCGCTGGGAGATTGGGGAATTGAAGTGTTCAGTGTGGGTTTGTGGGGCTATGTCTATGCACAAGTGTGTGTGCCTGGGTTTACGTGTTTGGCTCTGTTTGTCTTTGTTTATGTGTGTGTCAATGTCTGTTAGCTATGTCTGTGAGTGTATGTGTACAAGAGTAAAGGTCTATGCATGTCTTCATGCCTGGGTGTATATCCCTTACTCTAGCCTAAATTAGAGGATGACATCTCTCCACATTCCCCAGGCCTGATATTGTGCATGTTTATCCCTCATTTTAACTGTTGTCACCACAGCATGTGCGTATGTGACCATCCCCCACTCTAGCTTTGTCCTCTCCCCATGTCTCCCAGTGCGTTTCTGTGTTTCTGTGTCTATCTTCACCCCAGCCATGGCCTGTCTGGGTATACCTAGGTCGGGCATTGCTTCGACTGAATGCAGAAAAGCTTCAGCGCATGGGGCTGCTACAGGAGGCCCAGAGGCAGGAGGTGCTGCAGCAGGTCCTGCAGCTGCAGGTACGGGAAGAAGTCCGGAACCTGCACCTGCTCAGCCAAGGTGAGGGCTCTATTAAGCCAGTGGCAGCTGTAGGGTGGGGGAAATGAGGTTGGGGAAAAGAAGACCTCATGGGCTTTTAAGTAGGGGGTAGGGAAAAAGCTATAAAGGCACAAGACCTGAGCCTTGGGATATTACCCCCAAATCTGGCCTGGCAGGAGGAACTTGGTGAGGTCGGGGTTCTAAGTCAGGCTGGTTAGGGATGAGGGTCAAGATAAGAAACCTAAGTGGGGATTCAGAGTGAGACTGACTCACTTATTATCTTTGACAGAAGTCTTCCCCTCTCAGAGCCACAGTTTCCTCATCTGTAAAATGGGATAGTTGGACTAGATGATCTCTAAAATCTTTTCAAGTTCTGACATTCTGTGGTTCTGAGAGATGGTTTCTGTTGAGGGGCTGAAATCTCTGACTGGGACAAAAAGACTGAGGGTTAGCACAGTCAGGACCAAAGCCAGGTAGCATCTACCATGAGTTGGGTTCTCATGGGAAGAAAAGATTGAGTGTAGACATCAGGCAGAATTTCCTGAAGCTGCTGCCCTGAAAGTTTTAGATGTTCAGGTAAGGCTTTCAGAGGCAACTGAGAGGCACAGATTTCTATCTGTTCACAACCAAGCTTCCTAGCTCTTCTTTCATTCTTATTGTCCTCCACAGCTTCCTTTGGAAACATCTCCTAGCTCCGCTCCTTCAAGGGGTATGGGTGAGACCCCAGCACTGTGATGGCTGACCTGGACTAGAAAGTATGATAGACTGCTGGGTCAGATGAGGCATCAAACAGCAGTTTCCAGACCAGCAGGCAGTGATGAACCAGAGGCTGAAGCTTGTGTGGCCACTCCTGGCCAGAATACACACAACTTTACCCTGAGGTTAGAGGTCTGCCTTTATCCAGCTGGCCACAGGTTGCAGGACCTCCAGGACATCTGCTGGCAACAAAGAGACTCAGTCTTCTTCTTATATCCTGACAGAATCCAGGGAATCCAGCCCCAGTAGGGTTGGAATCTGACACCCAAATTTGGGGAGGGGGCAGAGAAGGGAAAGAAGATATATAACACTGGCTCCTTCTGCAACAAAGATTCTAGAGTTTTACCCCTCCTAGACCTTTGTGCAACCTATAGCACATATTGACATCTGTTTGGGTGGGGGGGAACAGTTCCAGGAGTATTTGATGCACTAGTTCCTGTCTGTGATTTCCCTAGACAAGATGTCTATTTATAGCCTTTCTCCCCAATATTAGTGACCCTCTCCCAACGATAAAGTCCTGGAAAATTCCCAGGCATGGAGGCTGACTCTGTTACCCCTTCCCCCATGGCTGTGTCTCTCTCATACCCCAAACACCAGGACATGAGCCACAGGGAAGCTTACTGGAGAGACTGGCTGCTCAGCAGCCAGTTTCCATCCCACCCCCTGTCCATTTATTTATTTCCCCTTCCTCAGGCCACGTCCTCCCTGTTTGTCTCACTAATACTAGGGATTTCGATTCTTTGTTCCTCTCAGCTTTCTCGTCCCCACTCCCAAGTTTCTCCTCCCAGAGACCTTCCTGATCAGTCTCTGAACAGATGTGACCCACCAATGGAGATATTTCCCTTTCCGGTGGGACTCCTTGAGCTACCCTGGGGAATCAAATGAATTCTGTTTACACAGAGCTTTGCAGAGACTAGCTCTGCTCAGAGGTTTTAGGTTTGTAGCATCTGACTGGCTGTAAAAGTCCCAATTTGGGGTGGTTGCAGATGTCCCTGCACTACAGTACACATGCTAAGGAGTGGGATGGGATGGGGTTTGTTTATTTAGAATTTGGTCAATGCCTTGAGCAGAGCTGCTGATACCTTTGGGGACTAGTGGAACAGTGGGACCCTTTCAGTCACTGGCAGTGACCCTAGAGCATGATGGTACCATCTGAGGACTGGGCCAGGCAGTATAAAGTTGAGTTATAGCAAATCACAGAGCTGGAACTGGGTCTGCTCAGCTGGGAAATGCAGTGAAGAGAAAAGGTAGAACTAGTTAGCTACCCTCCCCAGTCTAAGTCCTGCTCAATCCACTCTAGTCTTCCTATTCTAAACCCCTTTAGAAAAATCTCAGGAACAGAAGAGCCAGGGGCTTTTCCATCTAGCCCCTCCCCCACCATATCTACTCCACAGCCCTAACCTAGATGATGGTGTAGTAGGTATGGGGAGAAACCCCGTTTTGGCAGACTGTATTTAAGTAGCTCCTATCCTTTCTCCCAACAATATGTCCAGTTCTGTGCTAGGCAGTGAAAACTGCTGTTGCCCCTTCAAGGTGTCAGAGGTGATCATCCCTAGGCCCCAGGAAATAAGTTAAGAGGGAATTTAAGATCCCTAGAAGCACAAGGGGAAATGCCCTCCCGCCCCACAGCTTACCCTGAAGTATTTCCTCAAACCCTAACCCCAACTCTGATTTATCCCTAGTAAATGAGCCCTTAAAATGCGATAACATTGTCATAGGATTTTGAGATAGAAGGAACCTTAAGGTCAATCTAATTTACCCCTTCATTTTACAGTTGAGAAGCCCAGAGATGTTAAGTGACTTGCCCATGGCCACACCATTAGTAAGTGGCAGAGCCAGGATTTGAACCTAGGCCCTCTGACTCTAAATCCAGCATTCTTTCCATTCACTGCACAATGCTGGTTCCCGTTGTCCCTGGAGCAATATATGAACCCAAGCATCTCCCTTTCCCCTTGCCCAGCCACTGTGCCATGTACACTTGTTGGTTCTCTCTGTCTCTGTTTTTGTCTCTGTCTCTGTCTCTGTCTCATTTTTTATACACTTGATGTAAAGATATGAAATAAAACCTGATTCTTAAGTGACTGTTCAGTTGGTGAGATAGATGCCAAAGGAAGACTATGCAATCCAGTGTAATTCAACACATATACACTAAGCATTTACAATGTGCAAGGAACTGCGTGAGACAATGAAGATATAGACATGAAGTAAAACCTAGTTCATGCCCTGAAGAACCTTACACTCTGCTTGAGGAAAATACACAAAAATATGGTACAAGACAGATGATTATGAGTCAAGGGAACATCTAGAAGAATAAGACATAAGAAATTTTAAGGGAGGGAGTGGGGATACTTTACTTTCCACTAGAAAGCTCAGGGAAGACTTCATAGAAGAGGTGGCATGAGATCTTGAATGAAGAGGATTGCAACAGGCAGAGATGTGGAGGTAGTGAAGATGGGACCCATTCTAGGCATGAAAGACAGCTTTCAGGAATGCAAGGTTGTTGGAGAGTGCAGGGTGAGATTGGAAATTATTGAGAGGTCTAGTTTGGCTAAAATGGCAAGTGAAATTGGGCTGCATTCAGATGCTAGAATGCCTTAAATGCCCAGTTAGGGAGTTAATATTTTGTTACATAGCAATGCTTCTTGAGCAAGGGAGTAGTGTTGGCAAGTTCGTGCACTTGACAGCTGTGTGAAGGATGGATTGGAGAAGGAAGGCGCTGAGGGCACACAGGCCAGTAAGTAGGCTCTTCCAATAATCTAGCTATTCCAGTAGTGTAGGTAAAAAATAATGAAGACTTAGGTTTGGGTGGTAGAAATGTGAATGGAGATGAGGAGGAAGAATCAAGAGATATTGTGGAAGTAAAATTGTTAGGACTTAATAAGTGATTGGATTTGGAGAACAAAGCAGTGGGAACTGTCAAAGATGACTTCAGAATTATAAATCTGGGTAAAGACTGGGTGTATGGCAATGTACTAAAGAAAAATAGTGGTTTGGAAAACAGGAAGGAAGATGATGAGCTCATTTTTGGACATTTTGAGTTTAAGGTGCCAAGACACCCCTGATAGAGATATCTAGTAGGCAGTTGGGGGCACAGAGATCAAGAAAGACTTTAGGGTTGGATTTGGCAGGCATCTGCATAGAAATGACAACTGAAGCTATTGTAGTGGATAAGCCTCATGAGAGAGGAGGCATAAATCAAGAAGAGAATCAGGCTGAAGACAGAACCTGGGAAGATGGATAGCAGGGTAGGGAGGAATATCAACCACTGAAGGGGACTGAGAAAGAAAAATCAGGTAGACAAGAGGAGAATCAGGAAAGAACAATGTCTCCAAAGCCATTAATACAGAACAAATCAAGGAATACTACCCTATCATGTTCAATGCTAAAAAGAGGTGAGGTGAAGGAAGATGAAGGATGGTCAAGACCACTGGATTTTGCAATTAAGAGGTCACTGAGGACCTTGGAGAAATCACTTTCACCAGGATGGTGGGGGCAGAAGCCAGATGGCAGGGGATTAAGGAATGAGTGGGTGGTGAGGAGGAGTAAGTAGTGGATATAGATTATGCTTTTCTAGAAGTTGTTTTGTACATTAGGAGAGACATCAGAATGTTTACAGACAAAGGAGGAGGCAGGAGAGAGAGAGAGAGAGAGAGAGAAGAGAGAGAGAGAGAGAGAGAGAGAGAGAGAGAGAGAGAGAGAGAGAGAGACTGAAGATGAATAAAAAACAGGGAATGATTAATAGGACAAGGTCTCAAAGGAAATGGAAAGGGATAATAATATAATAATAATAATAGTAATAATAATAATAATAATAATAACAATAATGGTTGAGTTATATAACTCTTTACAGTTCTCATAAAAATCTTGTTGAAGTTGGTACACATATTACCCTTACAATTTACAGATAAGAAAAGGGAGAAGCTAAGTGACTTGACCAAGGTCATAGAGCTAGTAATTAGCAGCACCAGCACTCTAACTCAGATCCTTTCCTTCCGAGGCCATTTCCTCTCTGAGAATGCAACCATAGGATCATAGATTTAGAGCCAGAAGGGTTCCCAGAAACACTCTCGTCTGATGCCCTCATCTTACAGAGGACCTGAGGCTCAGGGAGCTATGTGACTTGTCCAATGTCACACAGACATTAAGTGGAAGATCCAGTTTTTGAATCCCGGTCCTTTGACTGCAAATCCAGCACTCAGACTGTGCCATGCTGTCTGACGTAAGAGGAAGGTGCAAGTGTCAGTGGGAGCCTTGTTGAAGACAGCCACCTCAGCCTCTGAACCAAAAGAATGAAGAGAGGCTGGACAAATAGTTTTGAACTTGAGAAGAGAGATGGGGGAGCCCAGTACAGGAGGCCTAATATTCTCAATAAAGTAAAAAGGTTATATGCTGGGGGAGAAGGATACAGGTAGGATACAACTGGGTGCTTGAGTAGAGAGTAAAAGTTTTAGAACAGATGCTGTGACTGTGTAAAATGAAGGCAATCACAGATTAATAGGACTGCGGTCAGTAGGGAAGGTTCAAGGGAGGTCAGAGAACATGATTTTTGGTGGATCTGATCAGCACAGTAACTTCCTCCTGAAGTGCTGGAGTGGTCAGAATAAAGAAGAGATATCATAAATGCTGGGTTGTGCCTCTGTGTGCCAGGTTGGGGAGGAAAAAGGGAAGCAAAGAATTCAAGGGAGCAGGCCAATGTCTTTGTCAAAATTGCCAACCATAGAGTTCCAGGGATGGGGAACCTGTGGCCTCAGGCCACATGTGGCCCTCTAGGTCCTCAAGTGCAGCCCTTTGACTGAATCCAAACTTCACAGAACAAATCCCCTTAATAAAAGGATTTGTTCTGTAAAACTTGGACTCAGCCAAAAGGCCACAGGACCCAGAAGACCAAAGATTCCCCACCCCTGGTTAAGACTATGAAGAGAAGGAAATGAAACCATAACAGGAGTGGTAGATTAGGAGGAAAAGTTGAGATGAAAGGACCAGAGCATTCTGATTAAGACAAACAGCAGATCTGGGAGGGAGAGGTGAAAGAACTTAAGCTTGAGATCAAATAAAGGAATTTCAGATTTCAATATCTTGGGGGTGGAACAATTTCAAATGATGGTGGGTAACCATATGGAGATTGAGATCACTGGAAATGAATGCATTCAGGAACTGAGAAGCCAAGGAATTAGAAAAGTTATCAGTGTGAACAGTGAAATGACAGAAGATGACAGCAGGGGTTGTAGTGAAGCAGCAGACTATTATCCAAATGCTTAAGTTATTGGGGGAAGGTATATGAGTAACCTGAAGTTAAGTAGACAACAAGAGCAAGGAAGAGGAGAGGGTGATATTAGATAAAAGGAAAGTTGTTGATGATGCTGGTAGTGCAAAGTCCTGAAAATGGCAATGGGGAGTTATATGCTTTCTGCTGATCCCTTCTGGCTCTATGAGTCCAGGAGTGTGAGAGGAGTACTTAGTGTAGGAAAGTGTTACAAGAGACAGGGTATCTCCAGGATAAAGCCATGTTTCATTTAGCACCAGAAAAGGGTGGAGAGCACAAAAGAAAAAAAAACACCATGGGATTAGAGACTCAGAGCTGGAAGGGATCTTAAAAGTCATTCAGTCCAACCCTCTCATTTTACAGTTGAGGAAACTGAGGCCAAGAAAAGTGACATGACTTGCCTAAGTTTCCAGGGTTCGCAAAGGGTTTAGCTGGTGCATCCATTGAAGGCTTGGGTTTTCCCAATAAAGGGTGGGGAAATTTGCTTCAAGTAATTTACAGTGACCAAATGCTCAGAGGGATATGGAAAGGGTGTTCATGAATCCCTAGACTCTGGCTGCCCCAGGAATAATCAGGCCCTGCCGTAGACCCTGCCGCAGCAGCCTGTGGCTTCAAGTGACCAGCCATCTGGTCAAACCAGCGGGCTATTTAGGCCACTAGGTGGCGATGGTACCACATCCCTTCTACTCCTTTTAGGACCCTACCCTGCATTTCTACACCCCTGTGCACATTCCCACTTCCTTCTGGAGTCAGAGTGGATTCTTCAGGCCCCACCCCTGCATCTCTTCAGAGTAGTTCAATCACTCACCTTCCCTTTCTGGCCTCTTTTCCTTCCCCCCATGCTGTTCCATGAAGTTACCCAAGCTCTGGACTGGGAGAATATCTTCTCAAACTGAAGATTACTTTGGAAGGAGGGTCTGAGTAGACAGGGAATGATGGAAACAGCAGCAGATTTCAGCTCTTTCAGCTCTGTGTGAGAGCTTGGACAAGTCATTTAATATCTAGGCCTTAGTTTCTTCATCTGTAAAATGAAAGGATGATCATGGCCTCTAAAGTGTCTTCTAGCTCAAAAATCTATGACCATATATTCTGGACATCTACAACTCACTATCATCTGTAGGATAAAATACAAACTTTTGCCTGGCATTCAAGGCCTTTCATAGTCCAGCTCCACTCTGCCCTTCTAATTTTTAAAAATTTATTTTTATTTATCAACAATCACTTCCATAAGCTTTTGAGTTTTAAATTTTCTTCCCCTCCCTCCCCAATATGGCACACAATCTGATACAGGCTATACATATACATTCCTATTAAACATTTTCACATTAGTGATGTTGTAAGGAAGAATTAGAACCAATAGGAGGAACCACCAGAAAGAGAAAACAAAATAAAATACAAGAAAAAAATAGCAAATAGTATGCTTCGATCTGCATTCAAACTCCATAGTTCTTTTTTTGGATGTGGATAGCATTTTCCATCATGAGACCTCTGGAGACGTCTTAGATCCTTGCATTGCTGAGAAGGGCTAAGTCTATCAACAT